AAATGCATAAAGTAAAAGAAAAAAAAAGAAAAAGTTAAAAACAAAACAAACAAACAAAAATTTCCTCCCCTCGAGCCCTGCCATGCAATGCGTCTGGGTCCAGGCCTCATTTGTTTTCCCTTGGCAAATTCTGATTATGATTGTACCTTGATAGTCACAGAGGCCAGAATGCCAGGAGAGGTACAGTAAGACTTTTAATTTTCTAATAGGAAAGAAAAAGGGGGCATTAGCACGTAAAGGCTGTATAACTGGCTTGTATAAATCTACCTGTTTCTTCACGTATGGAAAGAAAAAAAAAGAAAAAACTACCTTTTCATTATGCACAACTATTTACGGACTGTATAGTTTAGTCTACGTAGTTAATTTTATTCGCTCTTTGCGCTGCAGAGAGATCTCTGCTCTAATACTTGAACACTGTGTTTTATTGTGGTAATTATGTTTGTGACTCAATTTATGTGCTTGGGTGCTGTACCGGATGTAATGGTGTAAGCTAGAATTCAATTTGAACTCAGGTTGTTTATTATAAAAATTGCATAGAGTATAGCTCTGTAGTGTATTAAGTCTTTTCTGTATAATTAGACAGTTAACCTTTGATTGTAAAATATATATATTATATATATCCCAATGCAAAAAAAAAAAAAAAAAAAAGTAGAAAAAAAGTTCGTCCGGGATGTCTGGGAATTACGGTTCTCAAAATATGAAGCAAGTCATTTTAGTATGCACAGTTGATATATATATAGTACTGTCTTTGTCGGTTGTATATATAATCTATATATTAAAAAAAAAGTAAATAAACAGACTAGCTTAAATATTGTTTTTGCACCAGTGAGCAGTTAGCAGATTTCGGAGCTATACGTATATGTGAAAAGGGTAACTACCTATGGTTTACGTTTGAATTTTAATCGAATGATTTGATGGTTATTGTAATGAAGGTTAATTTTATTGATAATAAATTATACATTATAAAAACCTACATTTGGTTATTGTAAATTTGTATCGATTTACAAAAATAAATCTGGGAAGTTATGTTGATGCAGAACGTACACTGTCTATTTTGAAATAGTTACCTCATGGCCTACTGACCAAATCGTTGTGTTGAAATGATATTTAACTTTTTGCCAAATAAAATATATTGATTCTTTTATATTTTGTGATGTTTTAACATTATTAAGGAGGGTTTCTTCCACGGCACACCGAATCTCGCCAGCAGACGTGGCAGGGCTAGGGCAGCTGCGGAGGCGAGGAGTATTATTTCTGAGGCAAGGCAAACCCACGGTTCTATAAACACAGCCCCCAGGTGATGAAAATTTGTGCTTATTTTCGTCCTAAATGGACAGATTCAGATCCTAAATGACATAGCTTCTCTGAGGGGATGCCTTTCTTCCCCCCTCCCGGATATGATTTGGTAAGCTGGCGCTTAGCAGTGTGCGGAGAGAATCCCTTTGCATGGCAGCAGGGCACGGACCCGAGCTAACGACGTTTTAATAAATTCACCGGCGGGGCAGGAGACTTAGGACCAAACCAAAATGTCCGATGTTCTTCAGTGCGGGAAATTATGTAAATCAGCTCAGACAGCGACATTTAAGCTGAGATGGTTAATTAGCCTTTACTAGAAAATGCCCAGCGCGAAGTGTGCTTCCACAAGCTCTGTGAGAAGGCTTGCCCTACCAGGGCGTTCATTTAAAAATCCCTTCTAGAGATAATTGCCCATGCAAAATATGCTATCAAACGTCACCCATTTCTTCCCTTCACTTTTGGGATTATTTTTTTATCCTTTTAAATGTCCCGTGGCAAATAAAAACAACCCGTTGTGCTTTACTAGCGCCTCAGATTATATATATATTTATAGATAGATATAGATACAGATAAAATTTTACTGACAATTATGATAGAATTTATGGTGTCAATTTTACTCGCTGATTTAGCCAAAGGAAAGAAGTGTGCTGGCAACAGTCTAGAGCAGAGAAGACAAAATAAGATTTACTTTTAAAAACAGAAAGACGATTTCCTCGGAGTGGAAGATTTCCATAAACCCACTCCCCATTGCACTCACCCCTCCCCCGCCGCCCCAAGCCAAACCAAGCTCAGCAACAAAAGAAAATAGCCAAGTCTGCGAGCTTGCTGAAATTTACCCTTGTTTTGGGCGGACATCTTACTGCTCAGAGTAGATATCCTCCATAACAAGAACCGCAGCGCAGCTCTGCACCGCACCGACCCTTGTTTGCAAATATGCCGAATAACAATAAAATCCCTCTTGTTTTACGGAGGTACACATATATATGTATTTAAAGCAAAATAAGACGGAACACACTTATGGTCTTGGCAGAAGTTGTTGTCAGGAAAATTCAGAGCCATACTACAGTGCAATAAAAGAAAATGACTGCTGTAACCGTTTATGGGGTGTAAAACGCTGCAGGGCTAAAGACAAAACTTAGGGAGCCGGCAAGAAGTTTACAGATGTGCAGAACTGCGGGAGGAAAAAAATGCTTTCGGCTTCACCTTAAAAATAATAATAAAAGAAATCCTAGGTAAGATTTGATGAGTTCTAATTAGCAAAAGGGAACTCGTTCTGGTGTGCACACACAAAAAAAGCTCCTAATTGATCCCTGAGCCAGTATTTGGGGATGCTGGGACGCCCTCTGTTGTTGCAGACGGAGGCAACTTCAAAGAATCAGCATTAAGAGTGTGTAATAAATGACGGGTCTGCAAACTGTCTGGAATTCGGCTCTTAATGAGTTTACAACTGTCCAGCCACAATTAAGATTTTCTACAAAAGCCTTTTCATTTGTTTTGTCTGGCTGTTTTAGATAAAGCGGGCGAGCGGAAATAACAACCTTTTATTGGCCTTCCCCTGCTTAAATCCAGGCTGGGCGGTGGACATTTATCTTCCCGCGGGCTGGCGGCAGGGGC